GGCAGGTTGCGCGACGCTTGTCCTTGGCTCCGCAAAGCTCCAAGCCGAGGCCGGAGGGCAGCTTCCTCCCCGTGCCCAGGACTTGGCGGCTCGCCGGCTTTCCGAACTCCTCCGAGACCGAACATTTCCCTCCAGGCCCGGTAACGTCCCCAAACCGCGTTGGGTCCGGAACGCCGGCTCCGGTCCTCTCCCCTCGGTTTTCTAGGAATTTCACAGGCGGTCAACTTGCCTGAAGGGAAGAGTCAAGTGTGATTTATGCAAAGGGCTATCAGAAGTTCTCATGCTGAAATGTACTTTTTTCCTTAACTAATCATTACATAAATGAATATTGACATTCTCCATCTACTTCATTCATTCAAACATGTGCCAGTCACTGCTAGGCTCTGGAGAAATAAGGTTTATTTCCCGGAGATTTGATATAAATGAACTATGATCTATACAACAGGCAACCTAGATGGTACATAATTATAGTATCCTAGTTGCCAATTATCAGTTAACCACCCCGCATGGAATATTTGACTATATATGGAATTATAAGGATAACCTAACCTTGAGAAAGGAACCTCTAGCCTCAAAAATATCTCAAGTTTCACGAGCTAATCTGGGGATAGGAGGTGAGGGTGCGGCTGTGGGAGGGGCGGAATAATCAGTGCATATTGTTATAAATACTATACTCACATATGCAAATCCGGGTATAATTTTTAATCTGATGACAAGAAAAGGAAGCTTGGTAAATGATCATTGAAATATTGTCTGGCTTTATTTAATAATCATGGATCGTGGTAACTCTTAAGGCTTTTACAACTGTCTTTGCTGTGTACCCTAGATATCTTCAACTACATTTTAAGATCTTTCCCTTGCGTCTTCATATTTATTTGCTCATTTGATTTTAAAAAATTTTATTTTATTGATATCTTATGTCTTTTCCAGAAGAATTTGTAAAGTTGTGAAATGGTTGGAAACCCAGAATTTTAGGAATAATGCAACACTTATGATAGAATGCACAAATTTTTTATGAGAATGCTGAGACCCAAAGATGGTGACTTGTCAAAGAAAGCATACTAGAGTCCATTTTTTCTCGTTTATAGACCAAAGTTCTTTCCAACATATCAACTTCATGTTTCTCCATATTATAGATTCAAAGAAAAAAATCTATCCAGTTCATGACATTTGAATTTAAGAAAGTTAAATTTAACATAAAAATCTAGTACTGTGGTTAAAAGAAAATATTGCCAGATACTAAATTTTAATTTCAAGAATTTGGCAATAAATCTTCCTCTGAGTTAAATTTTTTAATTGTACAAAAAAAATTGCTTATCAAATCTCACCAGATAATCATCAAATAACGCTCTTTATAAGGTAGTCGTACTTGCCCACTTTGAACATTCATTCCCAGCTTACTTCTAATGGTTTTCTACTTATTTTTATTTTTGATCTTAATTGTTGTTTTGTAGAACTTCGAGAAGAAAATTTCAAGTTTCCTTGTGGACATTCTTTTTTAGAAAATGTACAATTGGAATGAATAGAGGATGAGAATTTGAGATAAAATTGCACATAGGACCCACTGCCAGATATCCTAATTCATTTTAAAAATTTGTCACAATGTCAGTTTTGCTGCTCATGAGTCCACCTTAATATGTATGGTTCTTGGAATTATATATCCTCAGGACATTGCTTGATAATTCCTAAACTGTTGCGTTACTCTAGATTGTTGACACTCAGGTAAACACATAAAGTGATAGATTTCACATGAAATTAAAAATTTAGTTCTTAACTAAAAGTCTGTTTTTCTATTTTGGATCAAGATGATGTTTCTAACAATGTTCAGTATGTGCCTTGTATGTGAACCAGGGAAATTGGTATTCTTCTATCTTGACTCTTCATTTCTCTTTGTTTAGAAAGAGTTTGAAAAATCCATTTCTGGACACCAAAAGTCTAATATGTTGCCAAAGCACATTTGTAAGACGTGAATAAGAGAGAAACATTCAATTCATAGTATAGATTTGAACAATTTCCATGACAAAAGAGTGGTTCTTAAATCTACTTTGAGGAGGATCAGAATTATTTCCCTTCTTTAGGTGTATTGACATTCTGGGATAAGGGAACCATAAGCAATCATTCAAAGAGTAGGTTGCTGTGATGTCACCATTGTGATAGAGATGTCATTCTGTGATAGGGTGGTCATAGAGTAGCACCTGTAAGAGTACTATCTGCCTAACACATGCATAATAAAATGTGTATTGAATTAAATGAACAGCCATGAAGGCAAGAAAACAAGTTTATGTTTTTATAGTGTATCTCTAACTCTAACTTCTCATTCCAACTGGGACAGCTTTGTGGTCCTGGCAGCCATATTGTTTTATATGACAGAGCATATCATTGTTAGCATCTCCAGCTGTCAATGGTGCCTCACACACTGAGAGTCTCTAGATGTTGCTTCTTTGGTCAGTTTATTAGTTTGCTAGGGCAGCCATAACAAAATACCCCGGACTAGGTGGCTTCAGCAACAGAAATTTATTTTCTTATAGTGCTGGAGGCTGGAAGTTGAAGATCAAGGTGTCAGCAGGGTTGGTTTCTACTGTGTCTTCTCTCCTGGGCTTGCAGATGCCACCCTCTTGCTGCCTCTTCATATACGTTTGACCTTCTGCCGTGGTATCTCTTCCTCTTTTTATAAGGACACCAGTCATATTGGATTAGGGCCCACTCTAACAGCTTCATTTTAACTTAATCACCTCTTTAAAGACCTTATCTCCAAATATGGTTATATTCGGAGGTACTAGGGGTTGGAATTTCAACGTGTGAATTTGGGGGGGACACAATTTAGCCTATAACAGTCACAGTCAATCTACTTCACTTAATTCTACACTTCATACCTAAGTGCCACCAATATCTTTTTTCCTGCCCCATCCCATAACCTCTTAGATTGGTAAGAGATGCATTTGCATGTTAAAGGATAGTACCTCCACATTTTCTGCCAATATTGACACTTTCAACTGGAATAGTTTTGGGAGAAAGAGTTCTGTGAATTAAAAAAGGAGTCTAGTCTAATGTGAACTATTTCTTTACAAGGTTTACTTTGAAAGCAAGGTCTACATGGAGAAACAGCTACACTTTGTCAACTGAGAGTCATCACAAAAGTAGAGATTTCTTGCCTTGATCATTTGCTCCCCTTACCTTGGACATGCCCAAAGGCATACTCTGACACTGAAAATGGCCTCGAGTCCCCAGACCCTTTCTCATTTCTTATCTTTCTTCCCCTTGTATAGTGGTAGGCATACATTTCCCTGAAATTACCCTACAACATATATGGATAGAGGAAACTACATATCAGAAAGTGTCTAATGCACTTACCAAGACCTCTATCTCCCCTATTCAGAGCACATGATCGCTACATATATACAAATCCCAAAGAACAACCACGGGACTGCTAGCCCAGTGATCTTGGGCAAGTTACTTAAGCCTTCTGCATAATCTTTGCCTATTTGCTATCAGGTACATTCCTTGCACTTCTGTTGCTTTGCTCTGAATCACGGAAAAGACAGTCCCTGCATGGCCCCCATGCTCTCAAGTCAGCCGGCTTCAGAACGAATTTAGCCAATGAGAGGTATAGGTGGGGTATTGGAGGGTGAGAGAAAGGGAGAAGCCAGGCTATTTCTCTTTCTCCTTCTCCCTCTCTCCTTGGGTGGCATCTCCTTGGGCTGTACAGACAGTCCCCAACTTACAATGGTTCTACTTACAATTTTTCAACTTTGCAATGTTGTGAAAGTGATACACATTCAGTAGAAACCGTACTTCAAATTTTGAATGTTAATCTTTTCCCCGGGTAGCAATATGCAGTACGATACTCTCTTGTGATGCTGGGCAGTGGCAGTGAGCCACAGCTCCCAGTAGCCCCGCGATCATGAGAGTGAACCACCAATTCACTTGCAACCATTCTGTACCCAGACAACCATTCTATTTTTCCCTTTCGATACAGTAGTCAATAAATTACATGAGATATTCAACACTTTATTATAAAATAAACTTTGTGTTAGATGCTTTTGCCCAACTATAGGCTAATAAGTGTTCTGAGCATGTTTAAGTTATGCTAGGCTGAGCTGTGATGTTTGGTAGGTTAGGGGTATTAAATGCATTTTTGACTTTAATGATATTTTCACCTTAACAATGGGTTTATTGGGACATAACCCCATCGTAAGTCAAGGAAGATCTGTATGTACCTCTTCGGCGGTTCCAGCTTTCATCAGACCGGCCTACCCTGGTTCAAGGTCCTCTTGGTGCAGTAGTTCCCTGAGCTCTGGAAATCTTACCTCCTTCCCTCATCCCTCCGAATTAAGAGTCATAATGACTTCTTGCTATTGCTAAACTCTAGTTTAGCTCACTGTCCCTTTTTGGCTTCTCAGCT